GTTATCTTAATAAAATATTGAGTTATTAAGGATTTTATACTGGCGAATTTTTAGTTAAATTTTGTGTAAGTGATTGAGGAAAGAGTTCTCAAACTAAGGAATAAAATTCATTCTCTAAATTATTAAGAATAATTTCCATTAATTTGGGTATACTGCCCATGAATATTTTTGATGCTATAAATAAAAAGTATTATTATTAAATTTCTTATTATATTTTTATAATAGGTTGTGAATAGCTAGCTAGCTGGCATAAATTTTCTGAAACAAACACCTATTACAATAAACAACACTGATGATATGACTAAAGATTTAACAATTAAATCAGGTTATAGAACTATAATTATAGAAATAAATTACAGATAAAACAAAAATTATATTAATCCATATCAGAGAACGACGAAAAAGTAATAAAAATAATTACACCATGAGACAGGTTGAGAAAGTTCTCCAAGACGCTAAAATTGATAAATCTCAAGTTCATGAAATTGTTTTAGTTGGTGGTTCTACTTGTATTCCTAGAATACAAAAAATGGTAGTCAAATCTTTCTATAACGAACTAAGCGAAATTGCTATGTTTTAAGACTGCCTTATTACGTTAGATTTTAAAAAAAACTTTTATTAAATTTGAACAAGGATAGGTTTATTGTAAAAGAAGTTCTGGGTTTAATACAATATTTGAATATACTTGGTTCTTGCAGTTTGTTTTAATCAGTTAGCCATAATAAGTTTTGGTTTGTGGAATGTAGATTGTATTAAGTTAGAGTTTATTAATAATGAATACCATGAAGTTTCATAATGAATTTGTAATTTGATTGGTTAATTATCACGAGTGGTCACGGGTAGGTCCATAAAAATTAGCTAATAATTTTTATGTTACACCTGATCTTGACGTGATAGACATGCCAATTTGTTTATTTTTATTATTTTTTTTTTAAGAGGCATTTTGCCTGGATGTCTTTATTAGTGAATAATAAATAGTTACATATTATTATACAGTAGTCTATCGACGAAAGTACAACT